AAAATATAACGGAAATGTGACTATCATTGAACGCCCTTTTTGTTATCGGTTCTACAACTACTGATCCAACAATTCAGCAAGCAGCGAAATAAATTGCTCAATGGACGTAAATACGGACTAATTTTTCACAAAATAACAGCTATTCAAGCAGTGCTGTGCCGAACAACATCAACACAACGGCTTGGCGGACAAAGCTGTTCGTTGTCTAGACTGAAGTATTTTGTTCGTGTGGAGTAGAGACAAATGCGAATTCGTGATGAACATTTCATTTCACAGCTGGGGCTCGTGTTTTCTTCTTAGGAATTTCTGTTTTCGTCGTGAAAATGCATGGGACGGTATTAAAATTAGAAAGGGAAGGGGGGGGGGAGTGAGAAAGGTAATAGACGATTAATTGCACTAATCAAGTCTTAGACTACGTTTGTGGTCTCTTATAGGACAGACTTTGACCTATTGAAGATATTTATAGTCTGACACTATTTTTGCCATCAATTTAGTCTGGAAAAGGTTGATTGTTGGATGTTTGGGAAGTTGTAGGTTTTGAACTGTATCTCAGTGAAATACAAAGCGTTTTGAGGTGGGTACAGTGAGGCGCGACTCAAATTTAGTGCTATGCGAGTCTTCAAAAAGTACCAGATGAAGTACATCAGCTTTATCTGTCTGAGGGTACCAGCTGCTGAGTTTGGTGACTTTTGCTGGAAATTGGACCGAAATATTTACGGATTTATTCTTAACTGCATTTTCATGAGGGTTTGACATTCAAAATTGCTGCTCTGAACCGATTCCAAGGTATTATTGAATGCAATCATCTAGCAAATATCTTATAAAATTTTGAATGCTTTTAGAAGGTCATAAAAAACTTATTGCATGCTTGTTCCACAGTACTATTACCGTATCTTTCACCAGTAGTGGGAAATTCCAAATTTTAAGAAAATGAAAATTTTTATCGCGAGATTTTAGTCATAGACTTTGATCTCCAAAAATGTTCTACAGTAACATTACCGTATCCTTCCCCATTAGTGGAAGTCCCAGATTTGTACAAGTTGGAAGAAAATTTTTTTGAAAAAGATCGTAACAATGTAACTCAGAATTTTAAAATATACGAGTCGAAAAAGCAATGTTCGCTATGAAAGTAGCAAAATAATTCATAGATTAGATTTTGAAATATTCAAATATTGCGAATTTTTAAGAGTTCGACTAACTTTCAAAGAAAAATGAAATAATCTAGGAAGGCTTTATGGCAGATATAAGAAATCTGTCGCTTATTTTGTTACAAATTTGGTCCGGAAAGCTTGCTAGGTATCGGGGAAGATCTGGGGATTTCAGCTTTCCTAAAGGGAAACATCAACCTGAAATTAGAAGAAGATCCCGTATGCTAAGTTTCCACCGAGCTCATCTGAAATCCTCATGCCATTCCCGTTCTCCTCCCCCAATTTCTTCCATGACACATGCTTCACGAGATATCAAACAAAAACTTCCTTAATTATCTTGCACTCTAAGTTATCAACATGCTTTTGATTTTTTACCCCTCCTGAAACGTGCCTCAAACCATAAAGAAAACACTATTCTATGACAGCTGCCTAGTTCGTTTTATGCTCTATGAGCTCATAAATATGATTTTCACTTTTTTCCCATTGTTTCACCTTTATCGAACGATCAAGCACTAGATCAAACAACTAACGCGAAGAGCCCAATGGGAAGGCACCTAATCAGTCAGCTAGCATGGTCCCTCCCCCCTTCCAGAAATGCCTGAACATCATGGACGTGGCGACAAAAACGTGTTGTTTTCCCCACTCATGACCAAAAAACATTGCTCGGTCCCGCCCGTCGCCGAATATTATAAGACGGGGCAACGGGGCGGGTGATTGTAGCCATCAGTAGCAGAGTTGAGCGGTGACAGCTCAGTTCAGAACTTCTTCTCAGGCTGTTGTCTAATTTTTCAATTAATATTTCTTTCAAAATTAATTTTTCCTATTGCCCTTTTCCAATGCGGGGAGTGGGTGGGGTTTGATTCCGGGGAGCTTCCTCGGTGTCTCCTTTGGAATACATAATGGGTCCCTATCACTGCTCAGTTTGGAAGTGCACGTGGTGTAGGAGGGGGGGGGGAATAAAAGAATTTGATTTTCTCTTTCGACGGGCTTTATAGGCGCGCTAAGGCAAATTAAGACTTTTTTATAGTACGAGTTATGTTTTGATGTTTTTAAATGTCAAGCTTATCTGAAAATTTTTTGATAATTTCCAAAAAAATTCCTGTTCCACAATCCGAGCAAAAAAATTGGTGTGAAGTCCTTGTTTTGTAATTTCCCAGAAATTCCCGTTTCACAAAACTTCCAAAAGCTACAACAAAGGACTATTTTTGATATTTAGAAGAAACTAGTGAAACAGTAATTTAAAAGTGCTACTTGGAAGAGCGTTCGCTTCGGCACCGCCACGCGTTTTCCCGCTATTTGCACATCTTCGAATTGCGCTTACGATTCTTTGTACATTAGATCTTCTGTTCCATAAAATTTCAGTCAAAAAGTTAGATTAAAGGCATCTGAACCGCTTGAATTTGCTAAAAATTCCCGCAGTTGATTGCCCTTTGGGTAAACACCCTGAAGACTGCTATCTAGTGTAACTATTGAACTCTTAAGTGCATATCTCGCTTGCAGCGAAGGAACTTCTCCCTTGAACATAATCATTATCAAAACCATATAATTTAAGCTTTTCCCATTTTCTGCATTTTCCAACTTCGAACATCCCCCTCTTCGCTCATACCCAAGCTTTTCATTCAACTAAGCCCCTGAGATCCAGTTGTTTTTCCGGTTGCTATGCGTTCTGCCCCGTTCACGTTTGAAATGACAAATTTCACCGAGCACAACAACTCTGTTGTTGAAAAATAAGCCGACCCACATCGTTACGTAATAATACACAGTGTAAGTTCACCTTGACAAACGCTACTGTCACGGTCGTTATAATAAATATTATTGAGACAAAAAATCCTAGTCGTGACGTTAAAAAGTGATAACAAAACGGTCATGATAGTTCCGCGTGGTTGATATGAAATATGACACGGGGAAAACATTTTTATGAAGAATTTTACGATTTGTTTAGTTTTATGCTTTCATTCTTATCTTCAAGCCATTAGGACTTTTTTCCGAAAGTTATAGTTCTTTTTTTTACCCAGAAGCTTCCTGATTTTTAATTTCACGTTATTGAGATTGCTTTTCGACTGAAATTAACGCATGAAAATTCTAGTTTGAAAGGTCAAATATTCCAAGCGATTGTTTTCTATTTACTTCCCCAGGAGCACTGAAATTCGTCCCTGGAATATTTATATAGCATCAATAGCCATTTCTCTCTCGTGCACGTGAAATTTAGCTGATCGTCGTCACATTGTAGTGATGTGGTAAATAAATGAACACGAGCTTCATGAATCATGGAAAACTCGTATAAATTTCCCAGAGATAAAGCCAGTTCCCAGGGTTGCCCATGACAGCCTTGGGGCTTTCCGTGGTTGCTTAAGCTTCTTTTTTTTTGGAAATTAGCTTTCGGGCCTATTTAACCTGTATTTTTGTATCATGAATAATCAGAATTTTTTTATTGTTTAGTTTTCTTGTGAAAGTTGAGATTTGGGTGTCCCAGTATGCTCTATATATACCCGGTCGTTTATTTTCTGAAATGATTTGATTATTTTCAACCAAAAATGTCCCTTTTAAGAGTTTTTGCATTCGGTGTTTTACTAGAGAGCTCCCTTTTTTTAGTTCAATTTCAAGTTCATTAGAAATATTTGTGTGTTTCTGTAATTTGATTTATCAAAAACTCAATTTTCATTGAGTCTTCTTAATTTAACAAAAAATTTCCTTTTCTAAACCTTAATCCAAGACTTTATAAGGAAGCGCGTTTATAAGTGTTGAAATTTGAGGTTTGACTGAAAATTTGCGGTTTCCAGGAATCCATAAATTGAAATTGGCGGAGAACGCTCTCGTTCAATCCTTCATACTTGTAAACTCTCTGGGAGCTCACGTTAATTTTTTAAAATTTGGCATCTGGAAAGAATCTTTGGTTCCTAAGACATCATAATTTTTTGGATTTTTCAACAAAATTTCAATTATAAGACTAAGCGTTTTAGAAATTCATGAAGAGCCTTCTGCCTCCGAGTATTTCTATATTGAGGTTTTGCTAAAAAAATTCTCGTTTCTGTCTTTATATTAAATAGGTATTACCGTAATGACAATCTGGTTTTTGTTATACTCACACTGCCAAATCACTCAAATCGCATCGGACGGTAATCTTTCCGGTTCCCAAAACTCGTCGCCTATTGGTCACTTCGATCGCGTACAAAAATACTGTACGCACCGCTCGGGTAGCGGCGATAGCGTCACCGCGATCGCGTTCCCACCAAATGTAATACGTCGCCGATGGGGGGAAGACGACCCAGTTTTTTTTTTCGGCCCCGTACTTTGTGCTGTGATGTGAATGAGATGATCACACACATAAGACAACCGCCCGCTCATTTGCCAGTCACGTGTCGATAACGGGCGCGATCTTCAGTTGACATTATACGAACGATATATAATACGTAAATGTCATTGGGAATACGACTCGCGTCTCACAAAGATCATTCAGGGGCGTGGCTTCCTCATTTATGGGAAGTAGATTTTTCTCATTGCTCCCATTTGTTCCCCTAGTCACTCCTCTAGATTACCAAAAATTTTCAGCCTTCGAACTTTCGTGAATTGAGTATTAACAAAAATTTCCCGTTTCTATTTCTCTACAGTCAGAATTTCTACTGAAGTTTTTTTTTTCGAGAAAATCCCGTTTCAAAGTTTTGTGATTTGAAGCAACGTCTCTACTTGTTCCAATTTGAGTTTTTCATAAGAAATTCCCGTTATTGTACTTCTATATAAGGCTATGATCCCTTTCATCCTATTCAAGTCACAACTTCTCGGCGTATTTCTCCCACTTCTCCTTCCGCCGTAGTTCGCTCAAATTTCACTTCAAAAATTTTATTTCCTTTTTTTTCAGATAAAAATGGACTTGCAAATGTTCTTACAAATGCTCTCATGTAGTGCAATAGTCACTACCATTGCTTTATTCCTTTGTGGAATGTAAGTTGATCATTTTTTCTCGCCCATACCGTAATCTTGACCTCCATGTTTTTAGCCCCATATGTATCGATATTATGCGAAGAAAAGGAACAAAAGAGATTAGTGGAGTACCATTCCTTATGGGTCTTTTGGGGTAAGTCTTATTATTTTTGACCACTTGTTATATCCTAGCGTGTAAGAGTTACCGTAATCCCACCGTACTTTTACAGAGCAGCACATTGGTTGCGCTACGGATTTTTGAAAGATGATTCCACAATGATTATTGTCAACGTAGTCGGTGTTTTGTTGTTCTCTAGCTATTGCATTTTCTACCTCGTCTACTCCGAACCTCGGGTAAGATTTTTCTGTTTCTAGTAATAAAATTACAGTTTTTTGTAAACTCCAGTGAAAAAAAAACGACTACTCATGGCCTTGTGCTAGCCTAGTACACATGCCCCGGAAATTTCTTTGTGCTAGTCAGTTGGTAGAATGAAAAATGTGAATTTACGCAACTAATGTCATAAATTAGCCCACGTGAACGATGAGTGCATAAACAATAGGGGGTAAACAAGGATGTTCTTTGGATCTAGTAAAGCTGGGGCTTTTTCCCACCAGTTAAAACCGTTGGGAATGTTTTGAATAGTCATTTTGGTAATTTTTGGGCACATATATATTTTTGAAACGAAAAATCTGCTCACACTGTTATTTTTTGCTTGGGATAGGGATACAATGAGGTTGAAGAGTTACCGTAATTTTTTGGTTAAAGACGAGTTTAACTTACTCCAAAGTGGTCAAATATAACCAGTGAGAAAGTATAAACAAAAAATTTGGAACCTATAAGTCAATCAATAACCCGCAGTTCCTAATTTTAACAACAGCCCAGCCAGTTATTTCTTGAAAAGTTATCTGATTGAATAGGCAATGGTTCAGTCTTCTGCCGTAGGAAATGGCTGAGTTCAGAATATAAAAAATCTCTGAAAAAATTATAGAAAAAATAAAAAAAATGCGTCATCACCTCAGTGACGCATTAAACTGTCCTCAGTGTGACCTTTGGTCTTATCAAACCATTCGAATCTGTTAACAGCTGACTTTGGCACAGAACCTTCAGCCCCATAGATCAACAATGATCTACAAAAAAATCCCTAACCTTGGGGAGTATAGCGCACACTTTACAAAAAACTTCCTTATCATCATCTGCGGTTAAGAGAGAAAAAACTGGTTTTGCTCTTGCAATCAATTGCTTAGAAGAATCGGCCGAAACGATGCTTTGTCTAGAAATTACTTGATAGTAATGGACTAATAAAGAAAAAAATGTAAATTCTCATTTCAGACGCCATTTGCCGCAAAACTCGTGTTTATCATATCTCTTATTGCCGCCATGGTTGGCTACGTCCACTATAACGTAAATCTGGACTATCTGGGTTTTGTCTGCATGGCGTACAACATTCTGAACTTTGGTTCACCCCTGGCTGGTTTGGTGAGTTTTTCTACTTTAAAACCATTGGTCTAATTGGTGTGTCCATCAAATTTCGTGTTTTCCCCTCTTCAGGGTGTTGTTTTGCGAAAGAAATGCTGTGATACGCTACCATTGCCGATGTGCGTCGCGAACTTGCTCGTATCGTCACAGTGGTTCCTGTACGGAAACATTGTCAGGGACATTTATATCATGGTACGTCAGCTTATCCTTACGATGCTGTGCAAAACTGGCAGAACTACGGTAGCTTTGCTGTAGGAGTAGTGTAAATTTACTGTGGAAAATGACCGTAAATTCAAGGTAGAATTACGGTAGGATCAATAGAATTGTTGTGAAATTTCAGTAGAATTGCCATGGGGTACTGTAAATCTACGGTGGAATTACGGTAGATTATTGAAGTCGCTGTGCAACGGTAGTATTATGGTAGACTTATAAAAATTGCTGTACAATTACGCTGGGATTACGGTTGGCTTACTGTAGTAAAAGAGGGAATTAGAGCGCACTTGTTATGAAGCTGTTGTAAAATTACTTTAATTCAGGATACTATAGAATCACTATGAAATTACGGTAGAATTACTGTAGTATCTGGAATTAAGGGTAAACTTGCTTTAGAATCACCGTAAGATCATGTTGGAATTGCTATGGATTACTCTGAAATCATGGTAGAACTTCTGTATAAAAATTACTGTAGCATTACGGTACACCTACTGTAGTTAACATGTTAGAATTGTGGTAGACGTGCTACGGGATTACTGTAGGATTACTGTAAGATAAAGCTACTAGAGCACTACCGTAGGATTACGATATGATTATGGTAGACTTACTGAGGAGTATAAAAACAAATAAAATTATGGTAAAATTACAGTAGAGCCTACTATAGAATTACTGTAGGATAAGATTCATGACACAGTCACCAGAAATTTACTGTAAAGTTGTGGTAAAAGTAAGGCATGATTATTGAAGAGTCACAGTAAGAGACAATATTACGGATTATAACGGATAATTTTTCAGATTCCAAACGGTATTGGCATGGCTCTAGCTGTTCTACAACTTAGCTTGTTCGTCATCTATCCACGAAAAGAGAACGGAAAATCCGTAGCATCGCATATTTCCGGCTTCTTCAGCTCTCGCGACGATGATGTCGAGAAAGGTTGGTCTTTTGCTGCGTCAGAAACGCCCAAGACCTACCGGATATCCGTCGCTTCAACAGATCTCGTATCTAAATCCTCGCCATCATCGGAAAAAACCGTTTTGGAAGATGTCTAGATGGGCGCTCATACCGTGCTCTGTAGTGCTCGATATGACACCCACCCACCCACACACACTCTCTTTGGTTAATTCGACTGTTTATGGACCTATTATCCTAATACAAAGAATTATGTGGCGCGCAGTGAGTTGAAATTTCAAATCCACCTGTATATGTGATTGTGCATGTGTGGGCGTAGTGTACTGTAGGTGTACTGTAGATTGGTGCTTGATAGTCGAAAGATCTCCATTTTAGGCTATATGTGGTAGAAACAAAGCTCAGAAAAAGTACATTTCAAGTACCAATCTACTCTATCCTTTCCTCTCTTGCACCCCCTATCCTTTTTGCACGAAAATAGTCAGCCCTCAATGTAAGGTGGATCTTCTATGCGTGGTCCTCTCTAATCGCACCTTCTGTGCCCTACTGTTCTAGTTTATGGGAAAAATTCAAAAATTTTTTTTTCTTTCTAGCAAGTGGTTTTGGCTGGTTTTTCGCAGCAGTATGCTGAAAAATACAATAAGAGATTGTTTGTCACAACCTTATATGGTCAAGTGTAAATATTCTGTATATAATGTCTTTCCCATTGTTTTTTTTGTATTGTTGTTTTTGCTGTACCAGTGCCTTTCCTCAGAGTATTTGTTTTCTTGCCTCGATTTTTTAGCTTTCATATCTTTGAACGGGTGAAGTGATTTTATAGATGAAAAATAGAGGTTTTAAATAAATGAATGAATGGTACGGATTGTACTATTTTTATAGCTAAAGAGTGTAAATTTCTCGAAGAAACAGGAAGCAGGAAAAGCATGTGCATTTCATCTGTGTGGGAATTTTTGCATGTTTACAGCGTAAAATCAAGATGCATTATGTTACAACTAGGCTTGAGCGATAGCATACAATTCGTTACGTAAATCGCTTTTCTTGCAAAGGGTACGGTAAGAATCCCTGAAAATCAGTGATATCTTTAGACAAAAGTTTGAGGAAAGTACATAGCAAAATTGCAAAGATTTCGTGCCTGCTAAAGCCTACATAGATTCGAGAAAAAAAACAAAAATAATTATTTGGAAAATATGCTCCAATCGCATGTTAGACAAAAATTCACTGAATTCTTAGCAAAAATCAGTAAACCTTGGGACAGACCTATGAACGCAAATTCGGACATACCTCAAAAAATTCTAAAACACCTAAAAAACCCACCATCAACCCCCTTAGGCCTTGTGAAAGTCCTCTTTCCTGCATGAAATGTTGTCAAAGCGCATGCAAATTTCTGTTAAAGTCCAGAAAAAGCACTCCTATTCTTCTCCCCAATGTCTTCTAACATGTCGTCCTAGTAGCTGTAACTTCATTCAGTTCCATTTCAGGTGATGTTACTTCGACGAAAACTGCTTCCACTGCTGTATCTCTCATTAGTACCAAATCGTTGGTACGAAAGCTCTCTGAGACACTTGAGTAAGTGCTTCTTGTTCATTGATCACTGATCACTGATCCGCGAAAAGCTAACCTCGTCAAAAAATCTGACTTGCATTCATCCGAATCCAAGTGCTATGCGCTTTCATCTTTGGTGCGTAAAGCCGAGCAAATCTCGCTACGGTAGCGACCTTGTTAGTCTTGGATTTTGTTGACATAAAAAAGGAGAGCAAGAGGGACATTTTGGTTTAAAAAATCGTGAGGAAGAAGGATAAGGATGTTTATATTAGCGAAATGAAATGAGTAAAAGGAAATCAAAAAATAATCTTTCCAAATATAATGAATTAGATTGGCTATTATGTCTTTTGCATCAATCAACCAGTAGGAATAGAATAACGCCAAAATTTGGCAAATTTTTTCCCTTAAATACATCTCGGTTAGTATAAAATATGGGTTATCTCCAGATATTTGAAGAGCCTATTCTGAACTTTGAATGCAAAGTTGCTGAAGGGTACACCTTACATTCGTGTGTACACAATTCCATTGTTTTATGGCTAAAATTAGAAAAAGTAAATGAAAGCCCCAAAAATTTTTCGTTTGCTGTTTTAGCATATTTTCATGCTGAAAATGTGAAATGAAGGAAACTTATTGCACGCTTTCGTTATCTCCCAATTTCTCCTGTCATTTTCCTGGTTCAGCACATTTTTGATGCTAATAGTGTTTAAAATAATTCCCAAAGCCTTCAATGTTTCATAATTTCTCTCGCCTCAGCATAATTCTTCGATACTCTATTGTTTTTTATCCATATTTTTCCTCAGGACGAAAATAAAAAAATAGGTATGATGAAAATTACGATAAAATCGAATGGAATACAATGAATTATAATAAAAGTAAAAGATAAAAACTATCAAACGCTTCCAAGATTCCCTAATTTTTTATTTCAGCAAATCTTCAAGGCGATCAGGGAGCGTTGATTCTGTAGACAGCAAACAACGCCAACGAACATCTAGCATGCCACATAATTCTAAATATAAATTTGTTTAGTTCTGCCCTATTTTTCTACCTCCCTTATACAAGTGTCGAGAAGGATTGTTTGTATATAATTTTGCCAGGCCTTCTTTGTTGCACTGCTTTATACGTGTATATAATTGTAAATCAGTTTATTGTTCATGACAGTCGCATTTTCTTTTGGTTTTGATTCGTGGATTATTGGAGTTTAATGCTTATTTCTTCTCTTATTTCTTATTTTATGGCCTTATGTCATGCAGTATAGTCCTGTATATTGTAAGAGCTTTCTGCCTAGGAGCAGTATGAGGTTGTACAGTAATAAATTCAATATTTCTTTTCGTGCGTACATCTCAACAAGAAGTCAGTCAAGAACTGATTGAGAACTTGTGTAAGGTCAAAACGATAACTGCTTGCTGTAAAGTTCGCGTCACAGTTTTTTTGGTCAGGGCCAGACTAATGATTACAAAGCTCGTTCGTGGGAAATAAGCGGGTTTCTGGGAAGTTTTCATGATGTTCGGATTATCTGCGCATCCCGATTTAAGAACAAAATAAAAGCGCATACGATTTTGCAAAGTTCCAGTAGACCCTCAGACAGATCGCTTTCAAAGTGTAGACGTCAGTGTCGGAGCGGTGGAAAAAAAAGAATCAGATACTCGCTCATCAGATTTTGCACAACATTTTGAATGTGATGCAGATGTTGTGCGAAGGCTCAACCATGATTAGCACAAATCGGTTAACCACGAAGAATTTAGGGTATACCATTACACAAAGCCCTCTAAAGGGGTTACTTGACTACCCTTCACACTCCACTCTTCCGCACAATTCTATTCCTTGAAAAAATCAAAGGAAATGGTATTCAGTGATAATGAAGAACAATACAGAGAATGCTCGTCATTTTATTACGGAGAACTAATCCTCGCTAGCAAATTTATTAGGTTGTCCCATAAGTCTTTTCATATCTTTTCAGCGACATAAATCAGTTTTTGGAACACCCAATATAATGCGCGGTACCATTCGACAGATCAAAGCAAGCTCTACAAGATAGCTTCAGAAGTTCGCAAAAAGCTTAAGCACAACTTTCAAGCCAAAACAAAAAATTTCCACATTTCTGAAAAAACGAAAACCGTCATATCTCAGTTGAAAACAACTCTGCAAATTTTCCACCTTATCATGCTATACTCCTCTGTTACTCTCCTCATCGGAGCTGCATTTTTCTGAAGGCTAGAAACCAAGAAAAAATAATGCGCTCAATCATCAAACTTTGCCTGTATCATTTCTTTATTCCCCGATAATAGGTGATTATATAGCCTATCCATTCAGAATTACTGCCATAAATTAGCAGCCTACTAGGTGCCCTAGTTCTTGAGAAATATCAAATTAAAGGTCAGAATATGAAAAGACTTATGGGAGTAGTTGAAGGGCTAATCATGTCAGAAATGCATCGTTAACGTCTGAAAAGTGATGAGATCAACGACACTTTACAGTCGTTGCCGAACCTTCAGAACCGTAATATTTATCTTTTAAGATATTGAGATTCTGAACACAAGATGATGTCAATTCAAATCATCGTCAGTCGCACATCACAAAGCTCTCAACTTTGCCTGGCAAAGCGCAAGATAAAGCCTTGTCTCACGCGCACGAAGTGTGATAAGTTAGAATTCCCTTCAAAGGAGTGGATCAAAATGAACCCTATTCAGATTTTGATAGCGTTAGATAGTAGACCCCCCTGGTACACTGTAGTCCCAACTCTACCCTCCAAATCATGCGCTGTCTCCTGAAAATGCGCTTCAAATATCCACCTATGACGCCTGTTCATTGTAAGTTGGGCGAGGCTGGTGGAATTTTGAAGCGCATTTTCAAGACTCCGCGCATGAAAAGGAGGGTGGAGTGGGGCTATGGTGTACTTGGGGGGGGGGGGGGGAGGGGCTGCTACCTAACGCTACAATCTGACAAGGGTCCGCGCCGATCCACTGCCTTTAAAAGCATTCCAGCGAAATAGTGGTCACCAGGGTCAAGCATCATGCCACGACCTGGGGGGTCGTATTGAGGGTTCGAGGAGAGGAGATCGTCATCGAGGTGATCTGATGTTAGCGATAATATAATATTCGTTGACGTTGACAGATAAACCCATTATGCAACATTACATATGTAGGGTAAGTATAATAAAAGAGCCTCAAAGGCGTAAGTGCATCATTTTTGTAATTAGTAGGTTGCCCGGAAAATAATGTCGCTTTTAATTTTAACATGCAGAGTCGTGGGAGTGTGAGCACGAAAGTAAGTCAATGGGGTATCAACCGATAGATCAAAACAAGCTCTACAAAATGAAGCTCGAGCCTTTGCGCGAGGTTGATTTGCGTGAAGTTTGGAGCCAAATTTCAAGGGCACTAAAGATCTAAAAAACGAAAAACATTGTATGTCTGTTTAGAAAAGTCCTGGGAACTACTAGCTTACTCACGCATGGACTCACTATACGAGACACTCGTATGCACATTTTCGCGGTTTTTCCATGGCTGAAAATTGAGAAAACGAAATTCGACACATTTTTGCCAAAACAATCCTGAGTTTCTCTCACACGGGTGATTCTGTAGCATGAACCTTTAGGAGTATAACTATGAATTTTCAGCTTTAGACAAGCGCTAGTTTTCGAGAAAAATCAAATTGTTTGCAAAAAACCCGAAAACGCGACAAATTCGCACTTTTGACCTATTTTTATTTCTCGTACTGTACCCAAGGAAAAATACCACAAACTATGCAGCTGAATGTCTAGTGTAGAGAGTACATGACTGTGCAGATTGGAGATCCATAAGACGTCTATGAACCGAGATACGATTTTTCGGATATCCAAAATTTTTCACATTTTGGATTCGAACTTCAGGTGGAGCACGATTTCCGCGTAGGTTTGTAAACTGTCTTGTCGACCTTGCTTTGCTCTATCGATACCCTATTCGCTATTTTTTATGGTCACTCTGTTGCGGTAGGATGCCATGCGACATTACTTTCCGGACAACCTAATATCATGTCAAATAACCCCTGTGGGTCAAGTTTCAGCGAATTCTGAAGTCTCCAAAATATTGGGCCATCCAAGTGAGACTGTCATTTTCAAAAACGTCCAATGTGTTTTAAAGGTGAGTTGACTACTTCTTTTTGCACTCAATACAGAAAACTACTACTTCTTCGCTCACTTCAGGAATTCCACTTCGATTACCTCCAAAGTATGGAACTAAGAGCAAACCAAGATCTGTTTGTTCCATTTTCCACTTTCAATATCTCAGACTAGAGAAGACCAATCAGGCTCAAATCACTTTTATATAAATTATGAGGCTCAGAGTATCAAAAATATTTATCCTTGTCGTCTTCTTTCGAATTACGTCGTAACGTGGAGTACGCATATTACTTAACCCAGCATTTTCGCAGCATTATCCATTTGCATAGTTAAGTGAAAATGACTACATCTTTTTCTAAAACAAACGATTTCAAATGATTTTTCTACTGTTTAAAGAAGAAGGTTGAGCAATAGCAACGATGTAAAAACCGCAGATATTCGAGTGTTTTGAAAGTAAGTTAATGGGGTGTGGCACAAATCCCTGAAAAGTTGTGGAAGCCACATCTTTTCTGGGGTTGTGCCTACATCCCATTAACTTACCTTCAGAGAAAATTTTAGAGAACAAATTGTATACGGTTCGATAGCCAAAGTCTCCTAGTTTTCGCAGAAATGATCAGAGCTGAGTTCGTTTTTTTATTTGGGCAATAGTCACTGGAAGCACAACCACTGGAAGCGAAAAAGGGACAAGGGAAAGTTTGGCTGTCTCCTAATTCCATAGTTTGAAGATTATTTGAAGCAGGATTCATGGTACGGGCAATGAGTAGTGCTTCTTATTGAGTACAAAAAGAGATAGCAAATTTATTTTCGAATTATAATTAGTCATGTTTAAAAATGGCCACTTCACTTTGGTGGCCCAATATTGAGAAACCAGAGAATTCGCTAAAACTTGGCCTACAAGGGTTATTCTTGACATGATAATCACAGATACAAAAAATATGAACGCTGTTTGATCGTTGATAACTCTCTTGCTTTCATATCTTTCACCGAGCTTGAGGTACCATTCTGTAGGGCGAGGTTCAACTTAGATTTTCAGTATGAAATAAATCTCCGATCTTTCTCAGTTAGTTTAGGATTACGGTACCTTTCAGCATATAGCGCCACTGTGGACTAAGCCTTTTGATGAAAAAAGCCAAAATCCAAAAAGTTGTGTATGTCGGCGGGCGATGGTCACTGCCAGAGGTTCGCTATCTTAGGCCAACCTCCATCGCGAGCAGCTGTTGGGTAATAGCTTCGTCCCGACATGTAGCAAGGTTTTCAGACGTGGCAATTTCACTACATAACTATACCAATTTTCGAGTTTTTTCAATGGTGTAATCACACTTCTGACGAACTTTGGAAAACGGTCGCTACTCTAAACCTGATTTAACTTATAAGAAGTATTACAGTGAAGTGCAACTTTCACATTAAAAATCAGCGACCTTATTTAGTCCAGTTCAGAGTTTCTGGCTTGTTTGGTTTCGTTCTGAGGAAAAAATCGCTTTTAAATTCCTAAAATTCTTCTCGAAGTTCCTACTGTTATCCAACCTAATGAAGAGTGATCGTATTCGCTCCATACAGTAAGTCTAAGTTGACAGTTTTACGGATCGGTACCTAAAGGTCAGCGAAAGACATTCAAACAAGAGAGTTATCGACGATCAAACAGTATTCACATTTTTTGGGATACTTTGCATGTTACTATGCGCCTGGTAAGAACTTTATGTCATTCTTACGTTAGGCAAACAAAAGTGGGGGGGGGGGGGTGGTATCGAGGTAAAATTTAGGGGGGGGGTCGTATCTGGCATTGTGTGTCATAGCTCTTGCTTGACCCTGGGAGTTACTGAAATTTTACAGCGCTGCAATAGTACATCTCCCGACTAACCTACCAGTGAAGTATGGAGAGAGAAAGCGAGTCTGGAAAACCTGAAAATCGTTCCGGAAGCCTTTCGGAACCCGTGCCCTTGTTTCCAACCTCGCTTGCATGTATTTGCAATGAATGTAAACATGGAAATCTCCAAGAAAAGTATTTTCGCCCTCTTCATGCGCTAAGAAGCCCAGATATGGGTTTAGCATGGCAAGAAAGCTCGATGGAACTGGATAGTAGAATTTGAGACACTGCTTTCAATCGAGCATTCAAACCATTTAAATATCAAAGTAACACAGTTTCTTTGGAAATTACCTTGCATATTTGAGGTGGAAGGAGACTTGGGCGTTTTCATTCGGTTCACAGGTTCCATCAATCTACCCATTTT